GTCTCTCCTGGCAGCCGCACGCACTGTGGCCCACCGGAAAAGGAAAATCCCGCCGTGCAGCGCGCGCGCGCGCGCGCTGGTGCCTTTTCAAACAGTAATGATTCCGCTTTAAATGCACTGCAAAGTGAACGATTCTGAGGTTTTGGGGATTCCCATTTCCCCCCTTACCTCCTTCTGGGTAGATAACATTTATATCCGTGTGTAATCGAAGACGGAAACCAACGTTATCCTTCTAAACCTCGGTTCCTCGTCAGTAAAATACCTTTTTTCTAGAGTTGCTCTTCATCCCTCAGCCCCCTCCCTTAGAGCTGAAGGCCCTGGACTTCTTGCTGGAGAAAGGCGTGCTGGTGAGCTCGTTGCAGTAAAGACTAGGGGTTGGGGAGGACGGTTATTGAGAAGGGGTCTGGATTTGTTTAAATAAACAAATTCTTTGTTTTTAGAAGATACTATATGCACATGATTATATATGCAAAAAAAATACAAAAGATACAGAGTAAATTCCTTATTCCCCACCCTTCACACCCCTACCTTAACCCACAGATGCAGCAGTTTTGAGCTGAAGAAAACAGTGGTGAGCTGTCAGCGACAGGCAAGATCCTGGAGAAGGGCTGTGGACTAGGAGGGGTCTGGGGTGGTGAGGAGGTGGCTGGAAATGTGTTTAAAAACACATCTTTTGTGAATTTGCAATTATCTCAAAATAAAACGTTGAAAACAAAATATTGTAAAGATAACACATACAAATGTGTTAAGATAACTTGGTAACAAATTTAAAAAGTACAAAAATAGAGTGAAAAGTAAGTTTCCCTCCCTCCTGTGTGCCCAAATTCCCCTTCAGAAAAATATTGTTAAATTGCTTGTGGGCCTTTCAGAAATAGTGGAAGAGTAAATAGGTGTGTGTATATCCTTCCTCCTCCCCCCCAAAATGGCACTGTTCCTTACATATCTTGCTTTCTATGACAAACACATGTAAGAAATCATTTATTATCAGTATATGCAGATGTCTCACTCTTCATGGATGTAGCATTTAATGATATGAACACACACCCATACTCAACTGATCATGCAACTAATCCCCTTGATGGACAGTTACGTGTCCATGAATTTGCTTGCAAACAATGATACAGTGAATATCCCTATACAAACTTCATTATGCAAATGTAAACTTTTTTCATTAAATACGTATTGCCAAAACACTTAGGAAGAGGTTCTAACAATCTACATTCCCCCCAGCATCACAGGGGAATATCAGAAGGTCCTAAATGAGTCCACACATGAAGCTCCAAGAAGGCTCTTAGGAAATGAGCCCCTTTCTTTTCCCAATTCCCTTCCCTTCCCCACTGCAACCAGAAATTCTTGGAGACTTCAAACCTTTTCAGACTCCAAAGAATACCAATGAAATCACTAAAATCGTGGAGTAGGAGACTAGGTGGTATTTAGTTTTCCCTCCCTAACTTTCATTTTCAGGAATCTTTTTCATATGCTAGCCCCCTCTGCCCCCATACATACACAGAGGTGTCTATCTCCCAGTCCCAGATGAAGAAACTGAAGAACAAAGTGGTAAAATGTCCTGCTCCAGGTCATATGGCTGGTATATGACAGAGAAACGATTAGAATTCAGATGTTACTGAAACCGATACGTTGTAATTACCCTAGTCTATACTAATAAAAGAGTAATACGCTAATTAGACCAGGAGACCTTCCAGACAAAGCCATGGGGGGGGGGCCAAGGCAGAGGCGGTTAGGGGTGATCAGGCCAGCAGGGGGGGGCAGTTGGGGGCAAGCAGGTCAGCAGGCAGAGTGGTTAGGGGTGATCAGGCAGGCAGACAGGTGAGCGGCTAGGAGCCAGCGGTCCCGGATTGCAAGAGGGATGTCCGACTGCAGGTTTAGGCCCGATCCCACAGGGATTGGACATCCCCCAAGGGGTCCCAGATTGGAGAGGGTGCAGGCCGAGCTGAGGGACACCCCCTCTCATGCACGGATTTTGTGCACCAGGCCACTAGTTGGTTAATAAAAGTATATAGGTTCCAGGTGTGCAATTCTGTAACGCACCATCTATATATTGTATCCCCCCCCGGACGAATTTTATGCACCGGGCCACTAGTTATTAATAATAGGAAAGGAGCAAAGGGAAGGCCAAATATTATAGGCGTGTCATTTGGGCAGCTTCGCCAGGAAGTTACAACTTTACACTCCCCAGGGGTCTGTTCTGTATTTTTATATGTTGTATTTCATTTCCCTTGTGTTCTTTTTCTATATTCTATAAACAAATGTCAGAACCCACCGTGCTTTCACAGTGACTGGTACAGAATAAACAATCAAGAAAGCCTGGCAGTAGCAGCCCTGGCAGTTTGTTGTGGTTTATTTCAAAGCTTTAGTTGATGGATTTTTGCCCCCTCGGAATTGATACAGCTGCCTCACCTGCTGCTAGTTTCAATAAAAATCAGAACAGTGGTTGCCTATTGGGGGAAAAATCTGGGATCAGATGTCCGATTGCCCCTAGTGGTGGAACTAGGCAGTGTGCGTGTAGAGCCCTTTATCCTTCTATGTCTTTATTGGAGGGTTGGTTTACACAAGGATATACATTTGTCAAAATTCATTGACGTATACCCTTAAGACCCACACATTTCACTGAATGCAAATTTTTTATTCCATTTTTTTAAAAATTAGCATCTTAAGCTAATGACCGTCCTATTCAGGGAACAAAGGCGCTACTTCTTAGTGTTTAGCAGGTAAGAGAGACAGAAATTATTTTTGAGGCCATGCAACAGGGAAAACTGGTTTTTCTTCCTGCCCTAAGACTACAAAGTCCCACGGTGGGAGAGAGGTTGAAGACATTGAAAATTAGAAGCAGTAGTTACTTACTACTCAAGCTCTGCCCCCGCTTCTCCATATCTAGGTTTATGGCAGAGGAAGGAAGTGATGAAATGCTGATTGAAATTTGGAAACTCTAGAATAAGACTTGTGCACCAACTCCTGCCTGGCATTGTGAGAGTTGCACCCCCGTGTATGTCCCTGTAAAAAGCAGTGAAAAGGACAGCATGCTACATTCGGACAAGGAGTCAGGGAGACCCCTCAGGGCTCTGGAGGCTCCCCAGTGCCCCAGAGTTTCTATATACCCAGATAGGTCACGGACAAAAGAACAACATAACAATGTTAGAAGGCTTACTGTGTTCCAAGTACTTTTCTAAGTGCTGCATATGTATTATGTCAGTCATTCCTCTCAGAAACCCTATGTAGGTAGATAATGATTATTATTCCCTTATTTTATTTATCAAGAAACCAAGGCCAGGATGGCTAAGAAATTTGATCAAGGATGCATATCTAATAAGTGGTGGAACTAGGCAGTGTGCGTGTAGAGCCCTTTATCCTCCAACTTTGCCCTTTTCAAAATTGGTTTTGCTATTCTGAATCATATTAGAATCAGCTTATTATTCTACATCGACTCTATAAATCAATTTGAAGAGAACTGACATAGCAACAACACTGAATCTTTGAATTCATGAATATGTTCTATTTCTCCATTTATTTAGGTATTCTTTTTATCATGATGCACATCTTTCATTTGCATAATGATTTGTGGAATAAAGTTTATGCAACAATTCACAGTTAATATTGTGGTAACTGGAATATCAACCATGTTGTTGAGACACTGCATGTGCCCCTGACCTGAATTGAACCCGAGACCCTTCAGTCCACAGGCTGACATTCTATCCCCTGAGCCAAACTGGTTAGGGCCAAAACCCAGGAATCTTTTTCCAACATCTCCAAGAAGGTAATTCCTTGAGCTGAGTCTCTTTGGCTAGAATCTGGACAAAGTAAACGAAAAGGGGGCAAAGAAGCAATCGTGCTTAGAAATGTTGTCATCATTCTCATGAGTTTATTTCTTTCTAATCCCCATGTTGTGGCAAAGGGTCTTGCAGAAAAGGGTTCATTGAATTAAAAGTTGACGTGCCCAGCCTGTGTGGCTCAGTGGTTGAGCA